TGGTTGCTGGGGTGTGTGTGTGTGTGTGTGTGTGTGTGTGTGTGTGTGTGTGTGTGTGTGTGTGTGTGTGTGTGCGCGCGCACGTGTAGCTTAATATTACATTCAAAAAGAAGTTACAGCCCTTGAATATTTCCAGGAAATAGACAGTGGCATTCTGGATGGTGGCGTACAAGTACAGTATAATAATGATAATAATAATAAGAAAAATTACAATAGATATAAATCCACTAATCAATACATCTTGCATTTTTCTTGCCATATATTTAATATATAGTTACAGAAATGGTTAAAATATACAGGATCAAGTAATAGGGCACATATTGTAAAAGCAATTCAATAATGAATATAAATACCATCAATCAATAAAACTAAACATTATTTCTAATTAATATAAAATACCAACATGCATGTATAATTGACTATTTTTTTAATAATTCATAAACAGAAAAAAGAATTACATAAGATGCATGATAGTAAAGTATATATTAACTGCAAATGTAAAATATTCATTTTTAAATGACAATATACAACTAAATAGGAGATCTACATATTAAGATATATTTTATATATATATATTAATAATTAAAAAGAATAATAATGATACATTAATGATTGAATTATTTGAATTAATTTTAATCAATACTAATGATACTCATTACATGAATATTTACCCAAATTAGAAAATAAATTACTATTTTTTTCTCCAGCTAAGATTTTTTTTCATACCAAAATATTGCAATAATTAAACAGTATTCATAATACTGTAACCACATTAAAAAAATGTATTAAAAATATATCGTAATTTATAATCAATGTCATTACATGTTTTGTGACGTGTTTTAATTATTTAAAAAAAAAAATTAAATACTACATTTCAGTCAGCTGCCTCGCCTTACTATACTACAGTATATGCGAAGATGTGAATATGCGCGTGCCATTACCTGTTGGGCCAGGCCGGAGAAGAGCGCCCTGGTGATGTTCAGGAGGTTGACCGAACCTTCCACTTTACAGTATATGTCCTTCAAGCCGATCAGCTTGCACAACGTGATGATGGCGCGGTGACAGTGAAGGCCGTAACCTGGGCGCGCACGCCGGGGAAAGACGCGCAAATCTCTCTTAAAAAAAAATTCACGTGATGACGATAAATCCTTTGCTATGCGACAAACGTTGAATACCTTCGTTCTGTTTCTTCATACGAAGCGTCGTCCTTTTGAACTTGGATTCGATGTCGTGATAAACTGTTGAAAAACACCAAAGTTGCGTTATTTTTTGGCAGCTAATTATCGGGAATTGCTGATCTCTTTGGTCTCCTCTCCAACGAGCTGCAAGCAGGCGTTACCGCGAAAGTTGTTCTCTTGAAGTCACGAAATTAAATTATATTGTCATTTTTTTGTTATTGCTTGCTTTATGTCTTTTCTTTACATCTCAAGCACAGGGGTACCACAGCTATGCAGGCAGCATGTAAAATGCTCACAGGCATGTATTCTTTATCCTCTGCGAAGAAGGACTAATATTGCAGCTTAATTTTGACGGCCTTCTTCATTCTTTTCATATTGTTTGTTCTTGGTTCATTTCTCTTTCCATCTGCCCCCATCAAACCAGGCACCAAGGTGTTGCTCGAATTTTTATTTTGCTTTTTTTTTTTGGTCCTTTGTTTTTCATCCCGCTAGGTGATGACATCTTGTGAAAAGACATTTTCATGTTACACAAAGAAGAGCTTTTGGGAACATTGTGTGCCTTATGAATCAGACTTCATGACTCAAGCAGAAAACAAAACAACAACAAAAAAAAAGGCCAAATCTTCCTTGTTGCTCACTTTGTTATGTCATCATGCTGAGTTGACTGACAGTGAGGTGAACAAAAAAGCCTTGTTGATGCCTTAAATGGCACTTAAGGAGACTGTCGCACATTTCATATTGCGGCGAACAATTTTTCCCGACAGTTTGGTTCTCCAAAGTGGCGACTAACAATTCAAGTGTGTACTTACTGGTGTGGTTGTTGTATCGTTCGATGTAGTACAAGTAGTGGATGGCTCGATTCTTCGCCTGCACAACCATGCGCACACAAGAGTAGCAATTATGATTTACGTCAATCAAAATCTGGACAATAAGGCATCTAGTTCAAAACATGCGTGAAAAGTTCTGCTCCGAATGACGCCAGAGGAGAATGACCTGCGTCAATAAGTTGACGCAGGACAAAAAAAGCAATGTTCAAGGTGCTCATAAAGTCAAAGCGTTCCAATCATCGCTCTCACCTTCCTCAGCGCAGTGTTTCTGTCAGCCGCCTTCCCCAAGGCGAAACCTGCACGCAAAATGGAGCCCCCTCATTCACACATTCTGACCTTGTACAAAATTTGAAAACGAAAAATAAGTCGCTATCGACAGCCTCAGTTCTAATCCTGCACTGAGAATTCTTCCCTTTTGATCCATCCTCTTCAGACCGGTGTTGAAAAGGCATGGCTGACTAGACGGTGGTGCACCACAGGGTGCTGAGCGAAGTCAACTCAAGTTTCAAGACGGAAAGCGGAAAACGGACTTTTTGAACGAGCCAACATATACATTGACATAAAACATGAATACAAAACGAGTCTTAAAAGCATTCAAAAAGCGAATCATTCAAATACAATTATAAAAGACACAACATTAGGTACAATTGTGCAATATAACCAAACAGACTTTTTGTACTATTCATGCTACCTTTTGTTATTTCCTGTTTATTATTGTGGTCTGCAGCGGCGGACAAGCGCACGGCATCCAGGTGTTCCGAATGAAGCGCCCAGCGAGTTCATACCTGCAGCGCCTTGGCCGTTGCCCACGGCAACCAAGCAGCTGATGGATCTCTTCCTGCCCTCCTTTGCCGTCATGTTGAAGACGCTCTTCACCTGCGACGCCACCACCAACCGTTAAAAACGACATTCGTGCACATTCCAAAAAAATGCACAAAAATATGACTTTTTTAAGAAAAATATTTTGTTGATAAATCCACTCTGGTTTCGTGAAAAAAAAATGGAGAGACAAAAACACCAGTTAGGTTTGCGCTAAATTATTTTTGACATTTATGAAAAACGTTCGATTGTCGATGATGCCCAAGTGCCTGTGACATGCGCAAGCGCATTTCAACAATATTCAGTCACCCCCCGACTCATTTCCCCCCCATTTCTTGATTTTTCTACTTTCTGATGAACTACATGGTGTGTGTTTAGCCTCCCGTGTGTGCGTTCACTGTCGTCTACTGTCAGAGTTGCGGCGTAGACTTGCTTTCATTCAACCATTTTGTCATCCTCTGTAAAACTATCAAGGTTGCACATTTCACTGATGGAAAAAAAAAAAAAAAAAGAAAATAAATTACACATTCAATACGCGAAAGCAAAGGTGAGACGACTGGCGACCTTGGTGGCCATGGACATCACCTCATTTTTTTTTTTAATACTTCATCTTACTTTTTTATACTTCTTCCTCCACCTCTCTTGCCATCTTTTTTTTCCTCCTCCTCCTCCTCACTCGCTAATTATATGCTTGCACCGTCGTCCTTGGGAGTCCAGCCTTTTTATTCCAGTAAGCCTTTTTTCATTTCATTAGTCTACAATGGACGCGCGCCCGAGCAGACACACGCACGTATACACACACACACACACACACACACACACACACACATTTATCTAGTGTATTTAGTGTACACTACATAACAAAACAAGTGCACATATACACACTGACAGTACGCTGCACACGGGCACATTCCAACTAGCCATTCCAACCTTTCGGCTGGTCTTTTCTTTTTTCACCCAAATATAATGAGTACAATAACAGCAACGTTGGTTAACTTGTTTGTCGAGTCATAGGGCAGTCAAAATGTGACAAGAGCGGCATTCTGATTCATTACCATCATTTCCTTTGAACATTTTTTTTTCAATAACCTTGTGTGACGATTTTTGGCTAACGAACGCCACTCACCTCGATAACCCGAGAGTCGAAGTCCTCATAGGTCTCTAAAAACAACCAAAACAGAATACAATTTAGCGCACAGACACAGTCCAGGCTAACCCCCCAGCAAAAAATTACCCATGAGTCCTGTTGGCATCACTTCGAATGACCTCTAAAAAGACACTTTGATAAAAACATTGCTTTGTCCCATTCTAATTAACAGCAAAGGACATCCTTATAAAAAAAGATGCAATGACACAAGCGCAGAGGCGGTTCCAGGTCGGTGCACTTCATATCCAGCGTGCGGGCCGCGTGTGGATTTCTTTTCCTCTTTTTTTTTTTTTTTTTTAAACAACGTGCGAGTGCTTGTTAGCAGCGAGCTCGCCAGAGTGGTTAAAAAAAAAGGGGGGGGGTGGGGGGGAGACCACACAAGCTTCGCTGTGCACATGATGAAATAGGAGTATACACTACCCCTCCCCCCATTTCCAAATATCGTATAGCAAGTCAAAAAATGTATAAATTATGTGGTTTTAAAAAATGTGGATTTGGGACTTAAAAAAAAGTGACCATTACCTCCATTAGGTCCAGGATCAGGGGGGCCTAGACTGACGCCGCCCCAGGAATTCCCCGTCCATCCTCGTTCCCGCTTCACCTTCATCTTCCTCTTCCTCTCCCACTCATCACGCTGACGCACTACATGGGAGGAAACAACATCGACTCATAGTTTAGTTCACAAACATCAACAAAAGAGCGTGCGCGAGCGCGCCTGTGTGTGTGTGTGTGTGTGTGTGTGTGATGTTGAGGGGTGCCGTACATCGTGTGTATACAGGTGCAGAAAACTTAAAAATGTGTATAGAAGGATAATGCACATGATGTGTTGTGTGTGTGTGTGTGTGTGTGTGTGTGTGTGTGTGTGTGTGTGTGTGTGTGTGTGTGTGTGTGTGTGCGCGGGCGCATGTTGCACATTCCAAAAAAATGCACAAAAATATGACTTTTTTAAGAAAAATATTTTGTTGATAAATCCACTCTGGTTTCGTGAAAAAAAAATGGAGAGACAAAAACACCAGTTAGGTTTGCGCTAAATTATTTTTGACATTTATGAAAAACGTTCGATTGTCGATGATGCCCAAGTGCCTGTGACATGCGCAAGCGCATTTCAACAATATTCAGTCACCCCCCGACTCATTTCCCCCCCATTTCTTGATTTTTCTACTTTCTGATGAACTACATGGTGTGTGTTTAGCCTCCCGTGTGTGCGTTCACTGTCGTCTACTGTCAGAGTTGCGGCGTAGACTTGCTTTCATTCAACCATTTTGTCATCCTCTGTAAAACTATCAAGGTTGCACATTTCACTGATGGAAAAAAAAAAAAAAAAAGAAAATAAATTACACATTCAATACGCGAAAGCAAAGGTGAGACGACTGGCGACCTTGGTGGCCATGGACATCACCTCATTTTTTTTTTTAATACTTCATCTTACTTTTTTATACTTCTTCCTCCACCTCTCTTGCCATCTTTTTTTTCCTCCTCCTCCTCCTCCTCACTCGCTAATTATATGCTTGCACCGTCGTCCTTGGGAGTCCAGCCTTTTTATTCCAGTAAGCCTTTTTTCATTTCATTAGTCTACAATGGACGCGCGCCCGAGCAGACACACGCACGTATACACACACACACACACACACACACACACACACACATTTATCTAGTGTATTTAGTGTACACTACATAACAAAACAAGTGCACATATACACACTGACAGTACGCTGCACACGGGCACATTCCAACTAGCCATTCCAACCTTTCGGCTGGGCTTTTTTTTTTTTTCCC